CACTGAATGTAGAGCACTTGAAGCTTTATAAAAATGGTAAATGTTAAGTTCTACTGTGCAGAATAAGGGTTAGGCTAGATGTGGTGATGGAAGATCCGTTACTGAATTTCCTCTGTGTGTGTGTGTTTAGTCAATTCTTTATGGTGTTCAGACATTGGGGCCCCTTTGTTATCTGTCTAGTTGGGGTCCAAAGTTGCTGGGGAAGGGGAGAGTGCTTCAACCTGTGCATTACTTCAACAAATAACTGTGTACTTTGTGTGTGGGTTTTTTGTTGTTGTGTAGAACCAATGAGGCTATCCTTTTGGCCCTTTATGAAGCTGTTCACTTGAACCGAAACTTCATCACCGTCTTAGCACAGGTGGGATACAACTCGTTTTATATTATCTCTGGATGGGAAGAATAAGCTAAGCTACAGAATACCTTCTGTCAGGGGTCATTTCGTAGAAAAAGAGGTGCAGAAGCTCATTAGCATAACTTATTAGCATAAGTTATTTGCATATGCCACACCCCCTGACATCACCGGAAGTGTGTCAGAAGGCAACACCCACCACTCAGGCTCCACTGGACTGTTTTGGATTGCTGGCTATTGGGGGGGGGGGAACGTGTAGATCTGTCCTCGCAGAGGAGGGAGAACTTGTACCTGAAGGCGGGGTGGGGTGGGGGGCTCTGCAACTTACCTGGCTGCTTCTTGTTCCTCATGGCCCGACTGAGGGCTGCTGGGAACAAGGGGCAGGGCTTGTTGCATGTGCCCACCCCCTGAGCTCCTTACTGCTGGAGCTCCGCTCCTGTGCGCTCTTGCAGGAAATGACCCCTGCCTTCAGTATGTTGGAGGTATTTGCTATGACATGTTGAGAACTCATCCTGCAAATATAGTGTTGCTCATAATGGTGTACTCACATCATGGTTTTGGCATAAAAGACCTTCCTATTAATTTGATGGATTAGAAGGTATATACCTCGTGCTTTTCTGTCTTTCTCCTCTCTTCCCCTCCCCCCAAAGGTCAGAAGGCTCATCTGTCTGTTTGCAGGACTCCTGGGAGAATTGCTGACTAGCTTGTTATTGAAATTACCTCAAAAACAGAATGAACTGTGTCCTTATCTATTAGTAAATAAAGGAGAAGAGTTTCGAATTTGTAGGATGGCTTACTGGCAGTAGCAAACTGGAGAATTCTCTGTTCTCTCATGACTCGAGTCAGGAGGAGCAGAGATGGCTTCATTCACATGGAATACAGGGCTTAGCTTATTTGTCTCTGGTGACTGGTGTTCAGTATTGTTCTATCCTGACTTCTGAAGTCTTTTCACCATTGATTTCCATAGCTGCCCTTTCTTCTATTTAATATAATGCTAATTTAAAAGCCTTGTTAATGCCATAACTGCGACATTTGGGTACTATCTCTTGGTCTCTGCTCTTGACATCCTATCTTGTGCTGTTTTGTCTCAGTTTTTTCATCTTGTGGATTCTTCTGGATAGTCACAAGTTCTTCTGGGTGTTTTGCCTTTGCACTTCTCATCTGCAAGGTTCTTGTTCTTGAGTGCTCTGATGATCTGCTGTAGTTAATGTGGTGGTTAGGGATGGGCACGAACCTAATCTGAAACCAAATTTCATGGCAAAATTACGCAGGTTGTGGTTTGCAAACTGAGGTTTGTGCCTTCTCACCTCAGTGACCCTCCCATGACTCTTCACATGGTTATCAGGAGCTTCATGCAGTGTGATACGGGGGGGGGGGGGGGGGGGGGGGTTTGTATGGCTTGCATCTATTTCAGCCTAATAGCTGACAGGTGCAGTAGTCCCACTTTTAGGCTGAAATGGATGCAAGCCATTTCAGCGATCCCTTTTGCTCCTTCCCAAGGTGTGTGTGGGGGGAGCGAAAGGGATTGTTGAAATGGCCTACATCCATTTAAATAACAGCAGGGCTGGTGCGCCTGTCAGCTGTTAAGCTGAAATAGATGCAAGCTATTTGGGCAATCCCTTTCACTCCCCTCTGCTTCCAAGCAGAGGGGAGTGAAATGGATGGGTTTAATGGCTTGCAGCCTTTTAAACCTAACAGCTGCCATTAAACCGTTTTGTTTTGCTCCCCCCACTTCAAAGCAAAGCGGACTCCTGGGTGATCCCTCCTTTCTCCCAGTGGCAGCTTGCTGTGGCCAGGAGAAAGGCGGCCCAAACTGGCTGGTTCAGTTCAGGCATTTTTGCTCGGTTTGGTTTGGTGTTTGGTTTGGGTACACCCTGAACTGAACCAGAACTTTCTGGTTCGTGCCCATCCCTAGTGGTGATATTGCTTCCAGTTAGAATCGAATTAGTCTAAATATGACCCAGCCAATGTTTCCACTAAAATGTGGAGTCTTGTGAGCAAAAATCCTACTTTGGGAGCTACTGGCATTGAAGTTGTGAGCGAGCGATTTGGCTGCTGCATAAATCAGTCTGCTCTGGAGCCCCATCCTTCCTGAGTGAAGACAAAAACGTGTGAGCCGGAGGCTAAAAAACTATGAGCTAGCTCACACTAACTCAGCTTAGAGGGAACACTGGACCCAGCTAGTATCATAGCCAATAGCACACTTACTATGCTTAGACAAATTGCTTGAAGTCTTGTTTATTCCTTTGTTCCTTCAGATAATAAGCCTGACATACAAAGTTGGGTACTTTCCTTGCAACAGTGTCCAAACTGTATATGCAACTTGAGTTTCTTTATTCTGTTTATGTCAGATTTGCTTAGTCTGTGGGCTACAGAATAAAGTTAAGAAGGGTGTATGTTGGTTTAATAGATTTTTGGAAGCTATGCTATAACTTGCACTATACTTGAGGTTCTGTTTCAGAAATGTTGTACCAGTGTCTTGCTGCTAGGCGGTGCTATTATCTCTTGACTGGCATAGCAGTTATAAAACCCTCTTACAGGAAAAATGCAAGTTTTTATTCCAAGGAAACAGGGTTGTAAGATTTCAATGGGCAGTTTATTTCAGAGCTTGCCTTGGACAATGATTTCAAAAGTTGAGTCTGCAACATTTAGCTATGTGTACTTGTTCTCTTATGAGACGATGAGCTGATGAAGAGTCCATTAATAAACTAGACATTCTAGTTCCCTGTCATGGCAGGCCCCTGCATGAAATTCCATGAAATGCTGTGCAATTAAAAGCAGATTGGTAGTTCTAGAACACATTTCAAATCATTGCACTGCTTGCTGCTGAGAGAACATTTGGAGGTGCGTCGATATGAAAGGCACTGTGTGAAACAGACTTCATTACTTCACTGTTGGATATAAAATAGAATAGTATGCTGATCTGAAATCTTGCTGGTTCTCATGGATGACTGTGACACAAATGGAGCCCTGTGGAGAATAAAGTTAAATCAGAAATTAGTTGTGAACCTGTTGGCTGAGGTGAAATGTGGAGAGGAACTAGTAGAAAAGACAAGGGAGTACCAATAATATTTCTGTAGTCCTGTTCTTGACACATGTGGGTTAAGTGCTTGGGTGGCAAACTGATGCGCTAACTGCTCTTTTATTAGGAATGTGTGAGGAAATGTAAGGACAGGGGGTGGGGTGGGAACTATAGACTCACTTGTATGTTTTGCAAGGCAGCAATCTGTGAGCACTCATGTTTGAGATTTTCCCCACAGACGAAAGTGACAGCTAGTTTTTCATGTCCAGGTAGAAGGAAAATAGAATTCCAGGAATGGTGTAAAACTAGAGCAAATGCATCTTACACTCTCCAGCATACAGTATTTGGAATATAAATTGTCTACATGTGTTTCATTCCTAGAGTCATCCTGAAATTGGATTGGTGACGATTCCAGCAAGTCCAGTTCCAACAACTCCAGTCACACCGCTTGGTACTACACCACCTTCTTCTGATGGTGAGCCATTCTACCCTCTGCTCTGGTCTACTGTATATGCCAATGAGTAAGGTCGCAGGTGGCCTGCTCTGCCAATATGGAACTAAATTATATTTCTCTTAGGTTAAAAACATGAATTTCAGTTTCATCCAGCCAACAGTGAGATTGGGTTACAGCTCTGTGGTTTCATGTACCTCGGTTATAAACTGGTCCTAGATGATTTCTGGGGCTGTTTCTGTGAAGTGTGAAAGCCATTGTCCTTGGTAAATAGGATTCCAGTATGGGGTTGGGCTTGCAAAACTGCTGGGGTCATTCTGGAGAAATTAAGATCAGTTGTCCATCCATGATTGCCTAGTTCCTCTGTGTTTACTGAGTGCTTTGTGTGCCACAAATGGCTAAACGGAAGAATGAGATGGGTTTGAATAGAGCTTTGTTTGTAAGCATCTTGGGGTGAGAGCTGCATATGTTACCCTCTCATAGCTGCTATTCAGGTCATTCTGATATCCTGGCAGAAGAGTATTCTTCTCTGGGAGGATAAATTCTGCCTGGTTGCCATGGATATCAAAACCCTCAGTTTAAAGAAATTATCTCTTCCACTTCTCTGCGCGTATGTATTCCATATGATTGTGAGGGCTGGGAGTGCTTAGGCTTCTTTCAAATTGTTCATTGCAAATACATCCACCTACACACTTTTTTATACAGTGGGCAAAATTTGTGCTTACCTTCAGTTTGTGTTCTCTCTCTCCCTCCCTCCCTCCCTCCCTCCCCCTCTCTCCCTCTCTCCCCCCCTTCCATCCCTTCCCCCCTCCTCTCATATTTGCATAGACAGACCCAGACTACTGCAAACAGGCATAGTAAGCATTGCCTTTCCTGGTGCTGGGAGGTTGATTAACAATAATAAGGCAATTTTTGTCTTGACCTGCACCAATACTGTCAAAGATTGTTATGCTTTTCAGCCCTTCTCTGTGATCCTGAGCACAAGTCTTGCTCCCATGGTTTTTGGCTTTGTTTTTTAAAAGGCATGCCAGAATGATCCCTACCCATGCCCCCAAACCTACAAATGTAATAATTTTATGTTGGCTCATAATGAGAGATAGAGACCTTAGATGCAAAGCAGGAAAAAGAAAACACTTTTCTTTTAAATGTGCCTTTTCAAAAACAATTAGGTGGAACCTTGTATGTTCAGTTTTGGACATTTCCACATGCTGATAGGATTTGCAAATGGGCTTAAGGTCTGAGACTCAGTTCCTCAGAACCTTGCTGGTACTGTTGATTAAAGCCCTTTTTCAAATTTCACAATAATACATGGTCTTTTCATGAAAAAGTGAAAGCTGCAGGGGCTGAGCTATGATAAGTAGTGACTGCTTCTGCACAGTGATTTTTTTTAAAAACCAACCTTTTCCTGTTGTTTGAACTGCGTCGAAGGTGCCTGTCACCATGGTATCTTAAGTGCTAATTTTGCTTGCTGCTGTTAAATATTCATTCATGGTGTGCATCATAGCAGCTCCAAAAGGACCCATTATGGCTATTGAATACATATTAGTTAAATCTTAGTGGATTTAGGGGGCTACTGTGATGGTGGTTGTGCAGCTGTGCAGAGGGATCTGTTAGCAGTGAGCCAAGAGCAGCATTGCCATAGTCTAGTTTTAGGGTGATAGTAGCATAGAGGAATGGGATTGTTGCATCCAAAACACAGCCCCGTTTGTGAGCCAAATGTAGTTGCAAAAGGCAGTCTTAGCAATAGTGTTGACTTGCTTCTCTATCCATGGTCAGGTCCAAAAGTACCCCCAGGTTCTTAACTCAGTGTACTGATCTGAAAGGCGCCTCATCTAAAGTGGGTGATGTGAAGTCCCCTTTAGGATGCGAGCCATCCTGACTAGCATGACCTTCATCTTGTCTGTATTCAGCTTTAGCTTGTTCATGTGTAGTCATTTGACCATGGGATCCAGGCATTAACCAAGGACTCAAGCAGCACCATCTGGAGGCTTAGTCAGAGATAGATAGCGGGATGTTGTAAGTATATTGATGATATCCAACTCCAAAGCTACCAACAATTTCATTAAGTGGTCTCCCTTTAATATGAACATAAGGGAAGAACAGGTCCCTGAGGTACCCCACAGTGGCCAACAGAAGCTGCTAGTCGCATTATTTTTTTAGTTCCTGATTTCACTGGTTTCTTATGGAGCTGTTCGCCTGTTTTATGACTGTTTAAACATAATTTTTTACACATGTGGGTCTCCTGCTTTCTGTGTAAAACAGGTTTATTTCATCCCTTTTTCAGTAACAACGAGTGATTTGCCCCTTCATCTGCTGTTGTTCTTGTCCAATTACTCATATTGTCCAATTACTCCCATTATTTAGCCTTTTGAGTTTACTTATTTACTTTGCATCAAAAAGACCAGTTCATTTATCTCCTTTCTCACACCTCTGTCTAACTCATGCAGGTTAATTGTCGCTTGCCTTAATAATATTTTTGTCTATGTTCTAGAGGTGTGGTTTTCTTTGAAGGACCAATATGGGATACTATGCTTAGGTTTGTTCCTTTAGGAGGATAGAATACTAGAATCTTAAGGCATGAAAGTTCATGATTAAGCATTCCTTTTAATGACAACTCCCTGAACAATAGATGTACACTTTAAGCTTTTTTTTCCTAATGAATTTCAGTCATATGACTTGGAAAGTTAGGCTCAAGATGAAAATCTTAGACATAGAACCATCCAAAAAACCTGCATTGTGAACTAGTTTGCATTGTGAACTAGTCATGACATTCACTTGTATCCCTGCTTCCCACAGGTGTCCCTTGGCCTGTACAGCTTCAGTGCTGATGCTGGTTTCTGTACCATGCTTTGAGCTGCTTTTAATTAACAAGCATTGGCAGTTCTGAGAAAATCATAATGGAAGGTGGATGTGTAAGGGGCTGTCTCTTCAGGAATGAAAAGTTTCTTATGAAGTCTTGAGATCTTCTGAAGTCAGAATATATTCAAAGTTTCTAAAGATTAGTCTAGGTCATTTCTGGCCTTCTAAATAACAGAATTGTTGGTCTAACGTGCCATAAGACTCCTGTTTATTTTGGGAAGCATTCTGAAAGACCTAAGAGATACATTATTGGCTGAAATAGTCTCAAACTGTTTTGGTTGAAGTAAGTACACTCTTGATCTCTGTTGTGGCTCTTGTTTGAGTTGCGGAAGAGAAGGCAGCAATATACACATAAGGTTGGAAGGAGCACCATTTCATTATGTTTTAAGAGTTCAGGTATGATTTTTAAATGCTGCAATGTCTCCAGCTAAGAATGATTTTTTTCTCCATATACCCTCTGCCCCATGAAGAAGTGCACAACTCTTTGTTGTAGTGGTTGATAATTAGTTAAAAGACAAAGATGAATAGGCCTTTCAGAATGGCAGTGTAGGTCCATTTGGAGGACAAAGGCCCCTGAATGTGAGGTTGTATGATTTAAGGTGATCCAAAACTTATATTTGGGTTCAAAGCTTTTAAATTATCCTCAATATTTTTGATTAGATTCACAAAAAAGGAACTGGGAAACAGATTCATCCTTATCAGGTACTGATGGTGCCAGCAGAAGAATATGTCAGATCTGGAAGCAGTGACATGAACTGAAAGGAAAATATGAGCTCAGAGCTGGGCTTCAGCTGAAGTTGGTTTTACTGTTCCCCACTGCTTCAGTAGCATCACTTGAGGAGTGATGAAGAAGGCATGTGAAAGATGGATGAGGAACCAGTGGAGAACATGTTAAACTGGATTAGCATGTCCTTTGTTGCCTCTTGCTTGAGTTCCATGCCTCAGTGAACCAGTTGTATTGGGACTAAACAGCTGGCTCCTCTTGAGCTTTTGGGGTTCCTCTTTCTTCATGAAAATTTCAGGGTTTTACCTGAATAGCAGCTTGTCAGGAAGGATTGTGAGAGAGTTGCCTAAATGAACTTTTGTATGGGCATTCTGTTTGTGGTGTTTGCTCAATGTCTGTGGTGTTTGTCTCATTGTAATGGAGGTTCAACCAGTTGACTGACTGTCTTCAACCCCCAATATTGTGATATCTGTATTGGCATTGCCTAGCACCACAGACAGTTATGAGGAAATTTTTTTGAAAGATTGGATGTTGCTGTAATAGGGGCATCTTCTTTACCTTAGGGTACCTTAGGAAACTTGTGTGTGCTGATGGTGATCAAATCTTATCTGCTCTTTCCCAGTTATAAGTACTGTGGAACTCCCTCTGGATGCTGATGTGCAGACTAGCAACCTGCTGATAACTTTCTTAAAGTACAGCTCCATCGTCATGCAGGACACCAAAGGTAAGCAGTTCTGTTGACACAGTTTTACAGTTCTGGAATCTGTTGGGGAGGAAGGGGGTGTTGCTGGTTGGTCTGCATACAGAAATCTACCTGGACTCCCCATGGAGATGAAGGTTCTGCACACTGAGAGAATGAATTGATTTCTCATTACCAGATGGCAATTACTGGAGAATAGGAAGCCTTGGTGCTGAAGGGAGGGAAGCCAATTATAGAAAGGGAAAAATTGTAGCTCATAATAACCAGAGGAGTCTCAGCATGTCCTCCCATAAGGCAAAGTGGATCTAATTTTCAGCTATGTGAGGGGAGGAAAGGAAGTTGAGATTTCCATTGTATATAGTAACTGCCGTTCAAAGAATGCCAAGAGGGACAGTGCACAAAACAGAACTCTGAGTCAAGAATAGACCCTTCACTACTCACTAGTTATGCTTCATATGCTCTGGCTGGCAAAGGTTTTGCAGTGGTGTAGGAAGGCTAACATGATATGGCAGGAAACACAGCTGGGTTATAGATATTTTGCCTCTGGTGATGCTGGATCATGCATGTGCAAATATATGTATTCTGCCTATGCTACAATGAGCCCCGTTGGCCTATTCAGAACCAGGGGGTTATTTATTTATGAATATATTTGTACCAAGCCTTTCTTCTTGGCTCAATATGACATAGGCAGTAATTAACACATTACAGATTAGAACCAGACAGGGGTCTTTTGGGGCTGGAGTGCACCGGAGCGCTGCTCCGGGAGCTCAGGAGCTGGCAAAATGGCGGTGGCAGCAAGCCCCGCCCCCAGCTTCCCACACTGCGGCCCATCGCCATCTTTTCAGGGCCCACGCCGGAGCGCCGTGACCTGGGGAGGCCTGAGGAGGCCCTTCGCCACTTTCCCGGGCCAACGCCAGAGCGCTGCGGGCCTGAGGAGGCCCATCGCTGCCCTCCCGGGGCCCGCATCAGAGTGCTGCGTCCCCGGGAAGGCCTGAGGAGGCCTGTCGCTGCCTTCCCGGGGTCCGCGCCAGAGCGCTGCGGCCTGGAGGAGGCCAGAGGATTCCCATTGCTGCCTCCCCAGGCCAGCGCCAGAGCGCTGCGGCCTGGGGGAGGCCGGAAGACGCTCCCCGCCACCTCCCTGGGCCAGCGCCAGAGCACTGCGGCCTGGGGGAGGCCAGAAGAGGCCCCCCGCCGCCTCCTGGGGTAAGTGAGGGATCTGCGGGGGGTGGCAGAGGCTTGATTGGGGGGGTGGGGTGGGAGAGCCTCCCCCCCATCTCTTTGCCCTCTTTCATTCCCTCCTTTCCTTCCCCTTTCCTTTTCTTTCCCTCCTTTTCTTTCTCTCTTTCCGTCTCTTCCTTCCTTCCTCTCCTTTCCTTCCTTTGTTACTTCTCTCTACTCTCTCTCTCCTTCCCTATTTCCTCCTTCTGCAGCCCAACTCTAGTGAGAAGGGGTTTAAATTTTAAACCCCTTCTCTCTTCGCTTCCCCCCCCCTGCTGGCTGGGGAAGGGAAGTGGAGGCTTTTGAAGATGCCTCCCCCCCTTTTGCTTCCCCTTCTGACATCACTTCCAGTGATGTCAGGGGGTGTTGCATATGCTAATGAGCTATTATGCTAATAGCCTAGTAGCTCATTAGCATACCATATGCTAATGAGCTCCTGCAGCTCTTTTTCCACGAAATGACCCCTGGAACCAGATAACATAAAACCCTCAAAAGACGCCTGCTGTTCCTACCGTATCAAAAACCCAGGCAAACAAGCAAGCCTTGCAGCATCTCTTAAAGATGTTCGTTGAGGGGTCTCTCTCACCTCTTCAGGGAGCCCATTCTTCAGAGTGAAAGCTGCAATGGAAAATGCCCAGGCTGTGGTTGATATCAGGTGAGCTACCCTAAATAGAGGAGCAGCTAGCAGGTTGCAGCCTGAATACTGTAGTTGGCACACGGGAACATATGTGGGCCCTCGGCTGTGAAAGGCTTTAAAGGTCATAAGCAGTACCTTGAATCGAACTCAGAAGCAAACTGGCAGCCACTGTAGCTATTTCAAAATAGGCAAAGTTCTCACTGAATAGCCCTTGCCAATAATTGGGCTGCTGTATTCGGGACCAGCTGCAGTTTTGGGATTACATCAACACAAAGAACCACTGTGATAAAATTGACAATCACATTTAATAATTCCTATGAACATCAATAAAAACTCATGCAATGTAGCTCAGGAAATTCTAACATATTCAAGAAAAAGTCCAAAATCCTCTTATGAGCACCTGGTTTTATACTCATTTCAACAATCAGGTGCTCTGTAGTGGATTATAGGAGTAACATTTCAGTCTTCATGCCTGAAAGGAGAGAATGAAGATTCCCAGTCACTTCCCACAATTAGAAAAGACACCTTTAGACATTTATCTGCTAGTTTGACATATCTATTGCTTTACAATTTTTGACCTTATAACCTTAACTAGTTATTTAGTGTCACTTTGCATATCTTGATCATCATCATGTTGCATGTTAATTTGCTGTTTATTCTCTGGCTATAAGTTTAAACCTTGCCTGCCATTCTAAAGTATTTGATAAAGTGTGTGTGCACACAAAAGCTCATACCTTGAATAAACCTTTCTTGGTCTTGGGCCGTGGTCACACGTTAAGGAAATTGTGATTTGTTCCCAAGTATAATTTAATCGGGAATATTTTTCTTTGGGTTGGGATGATCACATATCCCTCCCCGAACGGGAAGCATTGAGCGAGGAGGCTCTGGGCACCGTCTAGATGCAGCCGTCCCCTCTCTCCCCACCGCCCGCTCGCCTGCCAACCCGTCCGGCACTTTCTTCCCCCTGCTCGCCTCCAGCAACTTTCCCCACCGCCTCCTGCTACCCAACCAGCCTAGTAGCTCATTAGCATACCATATGCTAATGAGCTCCTGCAGCTCTTTTTCTACGAAATGACCCCTGGAACCTGGGGCGCACTCTGCCGCTCGCTCGCCTGCAAGCCTGCCGGCACTTCCTTCCCCGACCACCTCCCACCCCCAGCAACTTTCCATTCCGCCTCCTGCTGCCCGCCGCAGCTTCACTCCTGGGGCGGGCAGGAACTTTTTCCGCACTTGATGAGCACATGAACGTTTTAAATAATTAATTTTTTAAGCACAGGATTGCTCAAGCGCTCAGCTGGAAGCTGTAAAAAAACCACAAACCTTGTAGCGCCAAGAACGGTCAGACGGCCTTAATCGCAATCATTGCGAGAGGTGGCTGTCCAGATGGGCGAAATCGCGCATTCAGAACGCAAATACTAGGAAAATACTTGATTTTCCCGGTGCAGGAAAATGCGCTAGAGAACCGGGATCATTGCGGGAGTGAGCCTGCTTCAGCATGGGAGGCGGATTGGCCCTTCTGATCAGCATCTTTAAATGTGGTTGAGAACAGCTGCGAACCCCAATCAAAAGGACCATGTGACAGCACCCTTAAAGGTGCCATTGGACTCTAAATTTGTTCTACTGCTTCAGATGAACACAGCTGACCAACTGGATCTTTTTTCTCTCCATGCTAGCTAGTTGTGAGCACATACTTTACATCTGTTGCACCACAGGATGGGAATAGCTGACAATTGTGTAATGCATTTTGCTTGGATCCCACCCTTGACAGCATCCAAAAGTTAACTTTTGAGGATGAGCCAAAGTATCAATTATAAATGCTTTTTGTCAGCTGTAGCAAGGTATCATTCAGTTCCTTTTAAGTTTCCAGCTTGATTTCTATAAGTACACGTGAAGATACCCAGCAGGAAACCATAAAGTTTATTTTTATTCAGTCATGCCCTGTGCATTTTCTGAGAGGAAATTTACAGTTATTGCATTATTTATTCACAAGTAACTTTTACTGGGGTTGCTCCTTAATTCTCTGCATGTGTGTTTTAAAGAAATTCATCTAATGATTCCAGGGTAAGTTTGTTTTTGCAAGATTTAAATGCTGTACTTCTTATAGTAGTTCTCCAGCCATACCTGTTTAAGTTTGTTTTTGCAAGATTTAAATGCTGTACTTCTTGTAGTAGTTCTCCAGCCATACCTGTTTAACTGGATTATTTTGCTATTGATTATTAGCAATATGGAGTGCTTGGTGAGGTGGCACATAACTTTTTAAATAAATCTCCCTAGCCGCCACCCTCATACTGACATTTCCCATTCATTAAAGGTTCTCTAGTCCCACTTTCCCTTGCCAGAGATAAGGAGGAAGCAAGCTTCAGTTACGCACCTGATTGCACAGAATTGGCTTGGTATGAGAACTCCTCCCACCCGGCTCTCTTCCCATCCGCTCCCAAGGCCAAAATTAGGATCCCTCTCAGGGGATCTGTGCTACTTTCATAATGCGCTTAGGGCTTGCAAAGAGTAGTCAGTTGTTCTGATGCTGAAATACAGAGCACTGCTGTATGTATCACAGATCTATGTCCAATGATGTGCTATCAAATGTAGCGCATCACTTGTAAGGTCTATAATTTGTCGTGCAAGTACTTAGTGTAGAGCAGTAATGCTTATGATGTAATCCCCAGGGAAGAAATATGACTCTGGCAGCACCTGAACAATAAGCCTCAAGATCTTTCCATAAAAAGATAACAAGGCTCTAGGATATTAGAGCTCTCCAGGGCTATTTCCTTGGCTGTGCCAGAAAAGAAGCATTTTAATTTGTTTTTTAAATCATTATCACTTGATACTTAGCCTGTTACCTGTACTTAAATATATAGATGTAGTTGTTTATCATCATCCCTTACATATAAGTTTGAGATGGTCTCTATTTGTAAGGACTCTTTGTCCCAGTATGGGAGATCGAACAATTTAATTCAGATAGTGGACTAACACAGACTGGAGCCCCAAAAAGTGGGAACTAGTTATGTCTTTTGTGTTCAAGGAAGTCCTGATCTCTTGGTAACAGTTCACCTGTCCTCTTTTTCCACATTTGGGGAAATCATGCTGCTTATTAGAGCACAAAGTAGCATACTTCAAAGGGTCTTTTTACCTCTTGTTACTGATAGTTGCTTATCACTATAGGTCTTGAAGAGTTCGTTATACTCTCAAACAAGGAGTAGCATTGACTTCTATTTGCAAATTAAGCTCTAAGAGCATCAGTAAATGGGCTAATTGGCCTTTTCTTATAGACAACAGGTCAAAAACCAGCAGAAAATATAACGCTGGAGATGCAAAAAGACAAGAGACAGGACAGACTGAAACTAGCCATTTGTTTGATAGAAAAGGCCTTGTTATAGACATCTGGGATGCTATAGTTTCTCTGCATTGATCTGTAGATAAAAAGCTGCTGGTGCTTCACTTCTTGCTGTTTTTCAGCCCATGAGGCTCTGTGCTTCCTGATCTGCATACTGACCCTTTGACACATCAAGGTTTAGTGTCTCATGTGGGACCTGTTGTTGTTCATTTGCAGATGAACACCGGCTCCATAGTGGCAAGCTCTGTCTGATTATCCTGACCTGCATAGCTGAGGTAAGCCCCCTTGCCTGTGTCCCCCTTCTCATTAGACATGCATCAATCTCTAGCCCTGTGACCTGGCGCTATGTTTGCATTTCATTTCCCTCATATCTTTTGGAAGCTGAATTTACAACCAGTGCAGCTATAATTTGCTGAGGAACTGTAAACCAAACAAGTCTGCTTTCTAGTCTTCTACTTTTACTCTAAGATAGAATGCTTAGTGTATCAAAATGCCGGAGATCATTTAGAATCATCTGTCCTTCCTGGATGTAAAAGAAAACTGGTACTCCTACAGCAAGAAGAGGTACACTTTGTTCAAGTACAACCAAGGCACACGAGGTAGAGAGAGAATAGCTTGGGCAGAAATTATCAGAACCGGAAAACTTTTGACTTTGGTGTGCCTTAGATCATTCCAACCTCCAAGATGAGGTCTCCTTTTTGAATTAAAATGGAAGTGCAAGTTTAAACCCAAACAGGAAGGATTTGGTTTTGCTTTTTTAGCATTAAAGCACTGTCCTTTTACTTACGTCAGCTCTCTCTAACAGTGCTGTGCAATGATTTGTTTTTCGAAGGGTATCAAGATATTGTAAAATGACTATTTTATTTTATAAAGATGTTAGCAATTAGCTCTTCCAGTCGGCACCTGTGCAGCATGTAGATAACAGGAGACAAAAAAATTATTGCCTGGGTCTATACAGGGCATGTTTGACCATGGAGTTAAAGGGAGTGAATATTTATTGCTATATTCGGTTGTGCGTTATACAGAATGTGACTTGATTTAGAGTTGATCTTAGAATGAGTTCTGCCTGAGGGCTGAGGCTGCTGAGTCATCTTCCAGTGGCACAAGCTGTAATAATTCCTCTGGTGATGGGCCCATCAAAATGCCACCATAAAGCTTTCTTCTTGCATTACTACAGGAGAGAGGAGAAACTTCCTACTGAATTCTGCAAAGCACATTAATAGTGTCCTGGTCTTTTGCGTTAGGATGAGCAGATGTGAAGTTAACATCATCCATAATTTTTAACAATACTCTGGTGCTCTGTGGAGAACCTGGTCATTTGGCGCGTGGGGGGGGGGGATGTTACCCAGATCAATACACATGAAAGTCCCGTACTGTTCAGAGAATTCTCTTTTTGTGTTGAGTCAGACACATGTCACTAGGGCAATTAATTGATTCAGAGCTGATCTGTCTATATGTGGGTGCCAGTCTGGGGCAGTGCTCTGAAGGAGCAAGAAGCAAAATAATTATTTCAATAAGAGAAATCTTTATTTCCCTAATGAGATTCAGAATGGAAAAATAGAAAGGCAGGAGTAGGTAAAATGAACTGATACATGTTGGGGAGGAACATTGGGTATGGCAAGCTGGGGTGCTTAGGGAGAATAAGGGGCAGAAAGAAAGCATACATTGCCTGATCCTGTTGAGAAAAGAAGTCTGAGGAATTCAGTCCTGAGTGGTGGTGAAGAGTAGATGTGGGGATGAAGCTAGCCATAAAGTTGGGGAAGGAGTCTTGGGGTGCAGAACCAGCTTTCAGAGTAGGTGGCCAGAGGGGGATTTTTATCCACCTTTAATTATATCAGCAGGGGAGCAGGAGCTCACAGGGAGGGGATTGGACTCAAAAGCTGCAGTTTTGAGTTCTGCTGGTGGATTAAAAATAACTGCCAAAGGTGTCTTATGAGGGGATCCCAATGGAGGTGTTTGTGACTGGGTTACTGGCACAGAGGACCAACTTGGGCTGGTCTGGCAAAGGTTGCACAGTGTTTGGATTGCACATATTCAGTCTGACAATGGCTGGGGCAGAGCTGGACTCTCTGCCTAGGAGCTCAGTTTCATGAAGTTGGGGAGTGGCATCAGCTATGGTGGAATCATGATCCTATTGTCTCAGCAGTCGGGGTCATTAGGGAAAGGGGACCTCCAGCGTCTGGACGAAGGGCCTTAAACTCCATAGAGCATTCAGACAGGTACCTTGTTCCTAGTTTGAGAGTGCCCTGAAAGATCTTGCTGTTCTCAGGACTTGCCTTTATATTAAACTGGATATTTTATCCAGGAAGCCAGGAGTTCTTGAGTGGACACAAATGGTGTGTGGGTGGCCTACTTGAAAGCCTTTATCAGGATGTTTACTTGTAGTTGTTTGGTTGAATGTTGCTTTTCACTTTGGTTTTGTGTTAAAATGTATGGTGATGCTTCTTTCTTTGCTAGGACCAGTATGCTAATGCTTTTCTGCATGACGACAACATGAATTTCCGGGTAAACCTCCACAGAATGGTGAGTCTTCCTCATTAAAGATCTCTGCTTCATCAGGGTTGGAAAGAGTCTCTTAGAATCATTAGCTGCTCATGTCTTTTGTGTCATTCCAGGCAAGTAGTTGTTTTGGTATCAGAGATGCATGGTGAGGCTAGGAGTCAAACAGTAGATAAATGAATTGGATCTTTTTTTTTAAGGCTAAAATATGTCTCACTTTATTATTTGGTAGTGAAATAGTAATGTTTCACATTCAGCTAGAAGCTGGCTGCATCTGAAGGGCTTTGAGGAAAGGGGACATCTTGACAAGTGCTGCAGCATGAAGGATGAAGATTTAACATACTGTACTTCTAGATTGCCTCCTGCAGGACAAATGGTAGCTCCAGGGGACCAGTAAATTAGAAAAATGCTGGGAGGGGGTGTTAACTGCTGTCTTACCAAAGTTAGCACTTAAAGAAACACACTGAAGGATCACATCTTATTTATTAGCGCTGAAAGTTCAGTGTGGATTTATACATTGAGAACCAGTATGGTGTAATGTTGAACTAGGTTTCAGGACAGAGCCAGGTTCAAATCCCTTCTCTGCCATGGAAGCTTGCTGGGTGACCTTGGGCCAGTCACCCACACACAGCCCTTATCCACCTCACAAGATTGTTGTAAGTGTAAAATGGAGAAGAAAAGAACAATATTAAGCTGCTTTGAGACCTCATTGCGAAGAAGGGTAGGATATAAATAAAGTAAATAAGCATATTAAATGACCTGTGGTTGTTAGAGTACTTAAAGCTGTAGTAATTCTTATGCATTCAAACTTCATAAATTAATCCTGAGAAGACTCAGATTAATATATGGTTGCAGACACGCCACACAAACAATAACGGAAGCCCCTCCCCCAACCTGAACAAAACTGTGTAGAGAAAAATGTGTTAAACATTGTCAGTGCATTTTTTTCCCCTGGGAAATCATGTGAAATCATGGAGTGCTACTTTAGTATGTACAGTATATACAGTAGTAAAATCTGGAATGAGAACGATTTTAACAATGCAGTGACACAAGCTTTTAGTCTGGCAGGTTGTCTTTAAATTGGTTAATTGAGGGATTTACATGAGGGTTTGTCTGTTCCCACTGTTAGCAAGCTTTTGTTCATTGATGAAACTATGTGTTGAGGCTCTCAAGAGATTACAAAAATGACTAAAGTATGCATCCACAGAGTTACTGTCTTAATACCTGCTAGCAAACTGCATTGTAAAGAGGTCATTGATACATACCAACACATGGAATTTGGTGTATAGACTTATTGAAGCTTTCTATATAATTTGGCTTTGATATCCGATATTACGGCTTTGCTAGGAATTCAGCGTCTGATGAAAGTTTCTTCAAATAGGCAAAATTACTGACTACCCATTAGCTATTTATTTGTTAACAAAACAATACAGGATTTCTATCGAATTTGTATCATAGTGTATGTTACATTGCAGTGGTCTCAAGTCTATTTTCTATAGTAATGTGGTTAATCTAGGAATCTAATAAAATCTACAGCCATTCTATATGAGGTCAGTACACATGTGGATTTTTATTTCCAGTGTTTTACTTTCTTTACCTGGTGGTGAAAGAGTAATGTTTTTCTTTAAAACTGGCTATACCTAAAGAATTGGCTGATAAGTTCATGTCTATATGTAAAATTCAGACCCCTTTCCATATTGCGTCTTGGTCTTCATTCATCCCCTTCAGAATGGGGATGTGGTTGCTTGGTAGAATGCATGCCTTGCATACAGATAACCCCATGTTCATTCCCTGGCATCATGAAATAAAATAACTTGGGCCACAGGTACTTGCTGTACCTGAGACCATGGAGTGCTGCTTTCAGACTAGAGAATGCTGAGCTCAATGGACCAATGGCTTGACTTAATATAAGGCAATTTCATATGCTCATATGATTGCCAGGTAACAATACTGCTGTGGCAGATTCCCATATCTGTGCAACTCTTAACAGTGTAGCAGCTCTGTCAGAGCCTATAGATATAATGACCTTATGACCCTGTCATTGGTGTATATATGAGATTTTAATTCCAGACAGACTTGCTTCATGCCTGATACTGAATCAGACCACTGGTCCATCAATATCAGTATTGTCTACTCAGACTGGGAATAGCTTGCCTGAGGTCTTTCACATAACTTCTTACCTTAATCCTTTTAACTGGAGGTGTCAGGGATTGAATCTGGAGCTTCTGCATGCTAGGCAGATCCTCTACCACCAAGCCATGTAAGCTGAACTGTAGGCATTCTGAAAACTTGTTCTCTCAGTAGTTGGAATATTTGCAAACTAGTCTGGGCCTTCCCACTAAGTCAGCCAGTCTGTGTCCAGAGGCTTCAGCGGCCACATACATGATACAAATCCCTGCCTGTTCTGAAGATAGGTTGAGGGACTCTTGGTTGTTACATGGAGTATAGTGGGGAAAGACTGTTCTTAACTTGCATGTGAGCTTCTTTTTATATGTTGCTTGGGTTTGAGAAGGCTGAAATTAGGATCATGAAGCTCTAGGTGGTAGCCAGAGATCTCCCAGAATTACAATTGATCTCCAGGAAGCACAGATCAGTTCTTCTGTAGAAAATGGCTGCTTTGGAGGGCAGATTCTATGGCATTATACCAGTTGAGGTCCCTCCTTTCCCCAAACCCCTCCCTCCCCAGGATCCTCCCCTAAAATCCCCAGGAATTTCACAACCCAGAGTTGGTAACCCTAGCTGAAATGGAGGCAAAAGCCAGTGTGGTATTTGTCCCATAGCCTTTATCAGAACTGCACATCAAAGAGAATTTGGCTGTTCCTTTTTACATAGGGAGCTGTGTAAGCTGTGACCAAAAACTACTCTGGGCTGTGCCCCAGAAGGAGGTTGTTGTCATCAAGCTTCTGTAGACTTCCTGTATCTCTTTCCCCAAGATAGAGGTGCACCTTGGGGGGAGATGATTGAGATGGATATACAGTATGGTAGTTCTGCCACCATTCTCTCTAGGCACTGGGTCTTTCCAGCCTCCCATTTTTCAATCTAAATCAGTCGCATTGCAGAGTATCTAGGAATATATTGTTATTGCTTAGTGCCAGTTTAGCACCATTCTTAAAAATTAGCTCCCCCCATATTTCTCTTGATAAAACAAATAGAGAGGTGCGCGTCAATCAAATAGGCACTTCAGACAGGAAAATAAGAATTCATTCTAAATTTTCTAGTTTTCACTCTACATTCGTGTTAACTTATAGAGCTAGGTCTAAGGTTTAATACTGCTAGGAATCTGTATTCTCTAATCTCTGCGGGAAATGATGGGCTGATTTACCAGGGCGGTGTACAATCCTCATAGCTTTAAAGTGAGCCATCAGAGTATTTGTGTATGTGTGGCTGAAGGTGGATACAGGAAAGGCAATCACAAGAATTTGGGCCTTTCATATTTATTGCCAATTGATCAGTCAGATTTGGGGAGGAAATATAGGCAGGTGATAAGGGGCACGTAGCAAAATCCATGGGCCACTCCTTGATATTTCCTGGAATGTGATTGTAAGCTGCCTCCTCATGGATGTATTAAGGACAGTTTTAACTTCTATATAGCTGGAGCATCAACCTGATCACCAAAATAACTTTTCCATCATAGCTTTATTGGGGTATGTTGTTAGCCAAATTGCCTTAAATTGCTGATTAATATGGGGAGTTATGGTCTTAGATCAGACAATAGGCAACTGCGGGGGCAAGCATCTGTGTATACAGGGGTGCAGGTTTGTCCAGACACGCCAAAATAGACGCAGAGACTGATATCAGTATAAGATGGTGTTGTTTACTAAATGTATTTCAAGCATACAATAACACAAGCACACGGACAATTATATAGCATCTAAGAAGTATAGATAGAAATAAAAAAACACATTTGCATTAGCAGAATATTTCAATGATGGGAGATACTATACCTGTCCTGTACTTGGATGGAGCGAATCTCAGGAAAATGAGGGGGCTATGGGATGGTGGGGAGCGGGCCATGTCCTGAGCTGGCAGGCGCACGGTAAGACCCTGGCTGCGCAACCAAGAGTCGGAGACTTTGGGTAGGGAGAGGTCAGGTAGGGGAGCAAGAGTGCAAGTAAGAGAGAGAGCAGGTGCTGCGCAGCTCCCTTTATAAGGAGGCTGATGGGTGGGCTTAGACTTGGCCACCTGCCTTGGCACACCTTCTGCTAGTCCGTCCCCAAAAATGTGCTGACTGGTGTTGGGGTCGAAGGTCTGTGGAGTGGGCAATGTTGACTCTAATGGGAAACTAGCTTGAACAATGGCACCTGGTGGGATTATGTCTTCTGCTGGCCAGAGGCATTGTTCTCTTGTTGTCTCCTGTCTGTAGTTTCAATTAGGTGATGTGTTAGGTGGGGGAAAACATGCTGCTTATGCGCACAGGAAGGGGATTCTTCATGGAGTCCGAGTCCCCTATCTTCTGGCATGGCATGGCATGGCAGCCCAGCTTTGCACTGCTGTATGTGGCTAGGGAGCTAGTTCACCTCACTGCAAGTAAGAGGGAGGGTGGCATACGGGGCCCCTGGACACATTGTTTCACAGGAAGGCTTCCTCCTTCTGGGTATGTATCTGTAACAGGCCTTCTTTGGAGCCACCTTATAGCTCAGTCCCCTTTGCACACAACTAGCACATGTCAGGTGTTTCATACTTATGAGTTCATAGAAATATAATAGGAGCCACGTCAGGCAACAATGTCCTTTGGTGATGGAAGTTGTTTGTCTAGGGAAATCCCTTTCCCCCCCAGCTGGTGGATAAAGATGTAGGAGTACTAATAACTGGACAAAGCCCAGCCAGTGGGCATCCTGCTCTTAAATACAAATCAATGAAGGTGCTACCCATTGGTCTAAAACCATCCTGTTTTGGTGTAAAAAGCAACTGCGATAATGCATCTAGGATATTATTACCTGGATACTATTTGATTATTTCATCTCTCTATTTTGAAGCCTATGAGACATAGAAAGAAAGCCGCTGATAAGAACCTCCCCTGTCGGCCTCTGGTTTGTGCAGTGCTAGGTAAGTCTGCTTGCCAGGTTGACAGCAGCATGTCCAATGAGGAGGGGTAAGTAATTGGTATAGGGGACTCCTTACTCATTAGTTGTTAATTCTGAAATGTGTGTCTTTTTCATTATAGCCTTCTCTGTAGTGGCCCCCACAGCTGGTGTTTTCATAAACTACGTAAAACAGAATAGTTCAGGAAGATATTTTTATAATGGAAATAAAAGATTGCTCCAGGAATATGCACTGTTTCCATTGATGTAATACAGTGTTCGGTATTGTTTAACATGTTGTGCTTAATACATATGCTTTGTTCAGCTGACAGCTTGGTTTTAAAAATTTTCAGGTCCTAGTACTGTTAAGTTGCTTATTAGGTGTATCATTGTATAGATTTCATTAATTTACACTGTGTAATCTGCCTTGAGTTTCAGTGAGAAAGACATACCATAAATAGCGTAAATAAATAACACCTCTTTCTCATGCCCGCCATGTTTGCTTTCGTATGATAATATGAAACTCAATCTCAAATTGGTTGTAAAATAATGGAAGATACTATTAAATATTTTCAGAGACTATGATGCATTTTAATATGTCGGGCAAACTGTTGGGGTCATTTAAATAAGCAGTTCGGTGAGCCAGTGTAGAGATTGAATTAAAGCACCACTGGAGTCCCTTTTCTGTCTGCAGTTCTTTCATCTTTGGTGGAAAATACAGATGCTGTTTGGCAAAAAAAAATTGTGTCTCTTTGTCCAGCATGGAATACACAGACTTGTACCTAGAACAGGAATAGTTCTGAAACTGTGCTACTGAGCGGATTGTTAATTTCTACTAGCTGAGCAGCAGATGAACAATTTCAACTGTTGCTAAGATTCTGCTGGATTTATGGTGCTTTGGAGCATGTTCTATACATGCAAGGATATCCTTCTCCATTGCCTTTTCTGGTTTAAAATATTATCCCTTATCATGACAGTTTTTCTCCATTAGTTTTCCATTGGTGACAAGAAAATAAGAGTGCAATTCAGGGCATCAAGAGTAAATCTTACATATAGAACAATGCGGAGGGCAGGCAAGAGCGAATGTAAACAACATTCTCATAAATGCTTCTCAGGCATGCATTTCCCACCAGATCTCCCTGGGATCTTTGAAAAAAGATTGAATTTATCTGCTGGATCTTCTGGCTCATCCTGGTGGGTATGGGTTCTCTAGGGACCAGTCAGGGGTCGTTTCGTAGAAAAAGAGCTAGGGGAACTCATTAGCATAACTCATTAGCATATGCCATATCCCCTGACATCACCGGAAGTGTGTCATAAGGCCACACACCCCGACATCACTGGAAGTGTGTCATAAGGCCACATACCCCGCCCCCAATGGTCCGGGCCGCCGCCGCCGGCCTTGCAGCTCCACTGCCGAGCCCCATGAGGGGCCCGGCAGTAGACCTGCAAGGCCGGCGGGAGTGCGAGGAAGCCCCGCGAAGGCCCTCCCTGGCCCCAGGCAGGGGTGGGGAGAGGCAGGGAGGAAGCAACTTACCCTCCCTCTCCTCCTGCCTCCTCCTGGCTGAATGAGGGCCGGAAGCGGGGCGGCCGGAAGCAGGGGGCGGGGCTTCGTTAAGGTCCCCCCCCCGTACCTCACCCGGGGGAACTGCGATCCCCCGCGTTCCCCCCCCCGAAATGACCTCTGGGACCAGTGCTGATATAATATTTCCCATTTCTTAAACACATGTAAAGAATTAGCAGTGGACTGTGTGGATGTGAACTCCCTCCACCCAACTCCTAACCCCTTGTATGCACATTCTGTCAACTGGTCTCAATGATGGTATGTCTTTATGATTGCCTTAACAGTAACGGTTAATTAGAGTGAGTTCATAACCTGTGACCTGAAATTAGGATTCAAAGTTTGGCACAAATCCTAGGCCATTTATAATCCTGTGATTGTTTCTTTTAGATCTGATGGTGGAGTTCATCATAACACACATGATGAAAGAATTTCCCATGGATCTTTATGTGTAAGTAACAGGTCTCTGGGGTCCTTAACCATTCTGACATTTTATGAATGGTTTTATCAGCTTTCTTATTGACTTGGGTAGGGATTCATTCTAGCTAATTCAAGGCTTCCCAGTAACTAAGCCTCATGCTTTTGTTTAATGGGCCAAGAAATCAAAAATGAAATGAATTCCTACTCTTTCTGAAAGTTTTCCTTATTTGCTTAAGATGAGTAGAGCAGCCTTAAGCCTGAAAGTATTTTAAAACACTAAGCAAGTGTGAAATATAAAGTAGCATGAAGAGGAGAATACAAAAGCAAATGGAAGTCTGAAACATTCCCCAGCAGAGAGTGTAAAATAAAATTGTAATTGGCTTGCAAAAATGAAAATAAGTTTGTCGTACACAAAAACCTACTATCAGTTCACACAAAAATCTACTACATGTTACCTGGGTTATACCAAATGCAGATCTCAGGGAGCTGTTTCCTATAATTTTTTGTGACACACTCATTCCAAAAGTGTAAAGCCTGTTTGGATGATTGCTCTCTAAGTATTTGAAGGGCTGTCACTTAGAGGAGGACAGGGAGCTGTTGGCAGCAGAGGATAGGACTCGCAATAATGGGTTTAAATTAAGGGCAGGAAGGCACTGGCTGGATATCAGGAAAAACGTTTTTACAGTGAGAGTTATGCAACCGTGGAATCAGCTGCCTAGGGAGGTGGGGAGCTCCCCCTCACTGACAGTCTTTAAGCAGTGTCTGCACAAACACTTGTCAGGGATGCTCTAGGCTGATCCTGCATTGAGCAGGGGGTTGGACTAGATGGCCTGTATGGCCCCTTCCAGCTCTGTGATTCTATGATGTGAACTTTTTCTCCACTTTGTATTTGTGTTGAGATATCAGTTGACAAGTGTAGCCTTCTGGTTTATTAAATTTGCACTGTTGTTTTTATTCAGTTCTATCATAAGCCAAAAATGAGGAATTATGTGTTTTGAATTGAGTGTCGCTCTGTAATTTAGTACTGCAGATACAGCCTGAAATGGGATTTTTCCTTAACCTACATAGCGTCTCTGCTTAAAATAAAAATCTTTTTAGAAGTAGATGAGTGGAACATGGACAGGAGCTACTGACCCTTCAGATTCTAAATACAGGCATTCAGACACAAATTCTTGGCTCACCAGAGCAACATTCAAGCATCTTTAATGCTCTCAGCCTGTTAGAGAGATGGTGGTAGTTTCAGAACTGAAACTAAAGACTGGCCTTCTCTACAGTCTCATAGCTTTCTGCTTGGATTGGTCCACTCAATAGTAGTAGTAGCAGCAGCATATTGCTAGTTATGTAATAAAATAGCTGAGCTGGTACACAGTGGCCCAGTCTAGTAGAATATTTTTCTTTCACGTGTGCTCATCCTGCAGAGGAAAATTTTTGTCTTTGCAGCATTGTGTGGCTGCTGGAAATTCTGCTAGCTATGGTCGGACTTTTAGAAAATCTGGGAGATAGGTTGCTGTCTTTTTCAGGGGGCTTTTGCTAATCCCCTGTCAATTACTTTGGCAATTCAGCTGAAACGTTTAAAATTTTCATAGAAGGATGTAAGACCTACATATAAAATATGATCGCGCTGCTGAAGGCTTTATTCCTAGCATACGAATGGTCCTACTTCCAAACCAGAAATGAGAACGCTCCTACAATATGCTCCATTTTACTTTCTTCCCATTCAGGTTATCTATTTTAAATATAACCTAGCTATAAATTTTAGTCTATCCTCTTAACATAAGAACATAAGAGATGCCAATGTTGGATCAGGCCAAAGGTCCATCCAGTCCAACACTCTGTATCACACAGTGGCCAGAAATACCAGGTGCCATCAGGAGGTCCACCAGTGGGGCCAGGACATTAGAAGCCCTCCCACTGTTGACCCCCCCCCCCCAAGCACCAAGAAGACAGAGCATCACTTGCCACAGAGCCCCTATCTATACCTTGTGGCTAATAGCCACTGATGGACCTCTGCTCCATATGCTTATCTAATTCCCTTTTGAAGCCGTCCATGCTTGTAGCCGCCACCACTTCCTGTGGCAGTGAATTCCAAGTGTTAATCACTCTTTGGGTGAAGAAGTACTTCCTTTTATCCGTTCTAACCCGACCGCTCAGCAATTTCATGGAGTGCCCACGCGTTCTTGTATTGTGAGAAAGGGAGAAAAGTACCTCTTTCTCTACCTGCTCTTTCCCATGCATAATCTTATAAACCTCAATCATGTCACCCCTCAGTCGTCGTTTCTCCAAGCTAAAGAGCCCTAAGCGCCTTAACCTTTCCTCATAGGGAATCTTTCCTCATAGGGAATCTTCATCCAGATTGCCAGCTCATTGTCCATGTCTTGCTGAATGCCACTTCCAGTAAGCTTCTGGCTCCCTTCTTTGCTTCATTTTCTCTACTATCATTGAGTGCTTTCCTATATATTAACAAGGCATCTAATATCCACACTGTGTCTTTCAGATTCATATTGGACCTGCTCATGAAATATGCAGTAATTCTGAGGGCAGTGTGTATTTTAGCCAGGGCTCTTTTTGTAGAAGAAGGCCAGCAGGAACTCATTAGCATAATAGGCCACACCCAACAGCAGAAACTCATTAGCATATCGGGCCACACCCTGACAGCGCAGCGCATTAGCATATTAGGCCACACCCCATGTTACCAGAAGTGTGGTCATCCAGCCACACCCACCTTTTACTTCTTATTCTGTTTACCTTGTTTGTTGTCAAAACAATTGACAAAACCCATCCCACTTAGAGCAGGGATTTAAAGGGACAATGTCTCTGCCAAGCCGACTGGAACAGCAGGCAGGGGTTTGTAGAAGGCATGTTCTTTACCTCTCAGGTAAAGGTTTGTAGTTGTTCATGGGAAAAATGGGAACTTTAATAAAAGTGAGTTTTGTTTTAATGAGGTTGTTAGCAGTTCCCATGTCATTCTGGGAATTTGAAATGCCCTACAGTCCTCTTGACACTCCCCCACCCAAGGCTGCAGACTCCACTATTTGGTGATGTCTGCTTTTTTAAATTAAAAGAAAACAGACAAAATTCTCCACTGTAGTAGCAATGCTATCTTTTTATCAGTAAAGCTAAATGTACCTCTTATGTGAGCACAGGTATCTATAAAATCATACTGATTCACTCAACACGCAGAGAAATGTCAGCATTATCCTAAGGAGGGTCTGTCTAGTTCAGCATCCTATCTCTAATAGCAGCCTGCCAAAGGCTTGTGGTTGTGGGAAGCTCACAGGTGAAGCTGGACTAGAAGGGAATAAACAGCCGTGCCTTGTGGTTCATCCCAGAGCAACTGGTATTCAGAGATACTCTGCCTCTGACATGGAGGCTCTCATTCAGCTATCATAGCAAGCAGCTTTCCACAGACCTCTACCTCAGGAGATCGCCTAGCTACTCTTTAAACACATCTAAACCTAGCCAAGGTTGCCTGTTCTTTAAGCTAACAGTGTGTTGTGTGAAGGAATTCTTCCTTGACTATATTCTGAACATCAGCTTCATTTGGTGATGGTGAGTTTCAGTATGAGAACTTTCTTTACACCATCTTAGAAGCCTCTATCTCGCTCCCTTCCCAATTTAGGCAGACAGTACCTAAAATGAAAAGCATCAGAAGCTTTTTCCACATTCAAGAAAAACCAACGGTTATCTGATAAAGTCCAATGATGTTTTTAAAAGCCAGCAAGAGCCAGTATGGTGTACTGGGTGAAGCATCAGTTAGGGCTCTGGGAGACCCTGCTCTGACACAAAAGCTTGTTGTGAGACTTTGGGGTAGTCACTCTTTCTCAGCCAAACCTACCTCACAGGGTTGTTGTTGTGAGGGTAAAATGGAGGAGGAAAGAAGGTGCTTTATGAGGGTCCCATTTCCCATTCTGACGTACGAATTCTCCAAGTTTCCCAAACCAAAACACTTTAATGCCCACTCCTGCGGGTACATGTGGAAAGAAATAGCCACCTGCCCCCTTGATGGCAAAAGTTTCACATTCCTTTTGGTGACACTTTTGAAACCCAACGGCACCCCAACATGATAGCTGGTGTTCACCAGATCCATTCGCTGGGTCTCCACTGAAAACTTTTCTGTTGCCCCACTGTGGAAGCCTTTATCGTTCCCTTGGCCTAAAGGAAGGGCTCACTTCCGGGACTCTGCATGTGCTCAGTGTCGCGCCTGAACTAGGCTGCTCCCCTTGTCAGGCAGCGGGGCCTACAGAGTTAGCACATGCCAAGCACTGGTTAACCTGGCTGGGCCAAAGTGCTGCTGGTGTTTACAAGTGAAATCCGCTCTGTTGCCTTGCTCGCGTACAAGATGCTGCGTGCCTGCAAAGTCTCTGGGACCAGATCTCATGTCTCTGTGGCGCTGCACTGAAATCAGGCGGGGGAAGGGAGTGGACTTCAGGGGACTTGCCTGCAGCCTGTGAAAAGTGAGCCACGAATGATTCACGGGAAACAGACCAGCAAGAGGAATCCAAGGGGGACCTACCGTACCTCGGGCCTGGTGGCTGATGGCAAGGAGGACTGCCAGCACAGCGACGGTTGGTCCAATGAGCCATTCTGAAGCAGATCCCCATCGCCGCTGCCTCTTGCTTTTTCTGGCTCTTCCCCGGACCTTGCTGACTTTCACTTGGAGGCTTCCTAGAACCGGCAGCGCCTGCAAAACTTGGCAGTAGGTGGTGCCCCTCTAGAGGGAAGGGGACGGATCTGTGTGTGTGCAGTGACCGAGGTGGCAGCCAGTCCCCCACCCACCCCAACCGATGGACTCCTACCTGGCAGAGCTTTTGGTGAGGTGAGGGAGGGGAGGGGCAGGCTCAGAAGCCAGCCAGAATGCCCAGAATGGCATTCCGGCCCAAAAATAGCCCTGATTTTAGCAATAGTCTCCATGGAGCCTCCTGGTATATCTTTTTATGCAGATGACTCTTGGAAGTGTGTCGTCTCACCCACAGTCATTTATCACAAGTCTGTGCTGCTGGTTATATCAGACTTTCTTCTATCTTTTCTCCAGGCGCTGTATTCAAATAGTGCACAAACTGCTTTGCTACCAGAAGAAATGCAGGGTGAGACTTCATTACACTTGGAGAGAGCTCTGGTCAGGTAAATTCTGGGTCTTGTTCCCTCTTCCAAGGCCAGTTGTTCTTATTTTTTCACAAATATGGTGCTACTAGTGTTAGAATGAGCTGTTAGTAAAATAGTTTAAATGCATTGTACTTTGACTCTCCCATTTCCTGTGATGGATGATTTCTTCAGCAAGTAGAGTTCAGGGGGTAGCAGCAAGAAAGGGCAATGGGAGCTTCTTAAGCTTATGAGTGTTTGACTTTTTGAAGTTCCTCCATACAAGAGAAAAGCTCTGTTCTGTTCAAAATACATGACTTGTGTTGTGACATCATTATATTGTGTGTTTTGTTGCTTCTGCGCTATATTGTTGGTACTCAGGGAAAAGAAATGTAGGGAAGCAACATGGATGTTACAAGAAAGGAAGGGTGATAAAACACAGGCCTGCCATTTTCAGCAGTTGTCCTGTGTCAGGCATCATGTGCAGTTCTGCCCTGGATGATGTAAAATGAGACTGTGTCCAGCAGTACTCAACAGTCAAGTGGTGAGCTTATTTTTTACTTCTGAAGGATGAAACAGATTGAACAGGCAGGTTTATCTAGTCTCTGATTTCTGTGCCACTGTTCTGTGCCTGGAAGCAGGAAAGTTAGTATGAGTACAGCTAGCACCTCCGTCTCAACAAAAGCTTTTGTGGTTCAACAAAGAAGGCTTATAGAAAGGACCTAAGTTCCTATTATATTTCTCAGAGAATGTGGTTAATAGCTTAGATGACTCAACTATTGTTGGGGAAACTGTGTTGAATGGTTCTTAGCAGTGTTCTGTTGGCTAGCAGTCTCCTTTATGTGGCTAGGATGTAGGTGAAAGTGCTGCTGCTGACCAACGGCATTAGGTATTTCATTTTACCTTTTGTGGCTTGTGACACTTTCTGCTTTTCTAAATGTATCTGTACAGAAGATGATTATGGATCCCTACTAAAAAAATTAATGTTCTTTTGTTTTGTTTTGCTCCTCTTATCTTTGCCAGAACTGAGGTGAGAACTGAATATTATGAGAGTTGCATGACTACTATTGAAGGTAGCAGATCTGCAACTGTTTCTCCACCATACCCTCAGTGATTTCATTGAGCCCCCTTTTCATAGTATGGAAAGATAGCAATGTCACCTTGTGTGCTTTGTTTTACTTAACTAACTGGGTTGACAGGAGGTAGAGATGTGGGGATACTGCTTTTGATAGTAGCCACAGAGTTCTCATAACATCTAGTTCTAATATGAAGCTCAAGGGGAGTGTTTGCCTTGCAGTACTGGTATGTAAGGACTATGTAATTGTTAGGTGACAGGGTCAGCAATATGGAAGAGTTGTACTGGATCATATTCCTATCTGTGATTTTCCCTGTAATGCCTCATTCTTAAGCATCACTTTGGCTTCATTTGGAGCACAGATTATGGATATTGGTTGAGCTATTGATGTCCTTTCAGAACTGCAGCAGGCCAATATCTATAACAGGATCGGACAGTTCCAAACTAGTTAATACTGCCTTTTGTAGAATAAATATTTACATGGCCAGGTAGACAATGAGTTTGCTAGCACTGACCATTTACACTAGGATGAATGAATTTGGGAGCATTTTAATTATTATATTTATCCTGTGCAGTAAGGAAATAGCAGCTCACTATCTGAAGAAGTGTGCTTGTACACGAAAGCTTATACCTTGAATAAAACTTTGTTGGTCTTAAAGGTGCCACTAGACTCAAACTTTGTTCTTCAGCAACTCAACCAGTAGGGCTTCTTTAAATGTTTCACCCATAATGATGTTTGTAACGACAACTTACTTGGTGTCTCTGTTGGGCATGGGTAACTGTTTGTAAGAGCATCTGTTATTGATGCTGTATTGTACTACTCCATAGGGACATTTTGAGCAAGAGTGTTATTGGTAGGAAGGAAGACTTATTGATAAGAATGAATGGAACTTTTCTTCATCTTCTGTCTTCGGCGCAACCCCACATTGGGACTACACCTGCATAGGCTGACCACAGAACATCTTTTTCTAGCATAAAACCCCAAAAGAGGAGTGTCCCACCCCTTCCAGAGTGGATGTGCGTTTTTCTGCCCAGGACGACACGTGCTCTGGCAGCAGGTGCCTCCTTCCCTCAGTTCTCAAGTCTCTTGCAGGGTGAGGCGATTTCTGACCAACCTACTCTGAGTAATTCCCTTTGGGATGATTGCTTGTGGTGCCCCAATATGGCAACCAAGGTGTCATTCGAAAAGTGTGCAAAATGCGGGAACCAGATGACTCACAGTGCTGAACGTGAGCTCTGTCTCATGTGCCTTCGGAGAGTCCCACAGTGTTGGTGCCTGTGCCATTTGCAGTGCTTTATGCCCAAGGCTCACTTCGATAGGGTTTCCCGGCTGAAGGCTGCACTCTGGGAGAAGGCATTGTCCACCTCAGTTCTTCCTAAGTCCGTTCCGAGCTCAGACTTTGCTCCGTCGAGTCTGTCAACCTCAGCTTCAGCACTGGAGGCCCATTCCAGACCACCATCTGTTCAGTCAGTTCCAGCCATTCTGATCATTCAGAAGGCTCCCAGTCCACCAAAGAGAGCCTCTTCCCTAGCTCCTGCTTCAAAGTCCAGGCAGCCTCCATCTCTGGCTGCATCAGCTCCTGCCCATTCCGAACCTCCAGTAAAGAAACATAAGAAATCTAAACACGAGGATAAGGCTGACTCGGATACTAAGCATAGGAGACATCAGTCGCCCCCAAATAGATCAGTGGATGACCAGGACACCATCCTGGTGCTCCCACACACTCCATCACCACACTTTGGCTCCC